ACTGAGATCAAATTTAGTGGAGTCTTTGATACTATCTTAATATCAAATAGAAGGCTAGTTTCTCCACTTTGCAACACCAAGTTGTCGTATCAGTCATATAAACTTCAACTCCATCTTCATCATTTGTATATATCTATTTTGTATCAAGTCAAAAACTCAATAATAGAGTAAGATACTTCTTGATCTCATATGAAGTGGGTTTCTAACATTTGAACTCACTATCTACACAAGATAAGATCCAATATGTATAGTGTTGACATGAAAACAACACTAAGAGGAAGATATTCAAGTGCAATATCATTCAACTTAACCACTTTCAAGCTAAGAGATTCAAACCGTATAGTTGAAGCACTTGAACATTTATAACATTGATCGTCTACCAAATCTACTATTCGATATATTCTTCTTGGTCCCTTTTCCAGTCTCTCCATCTATCCCGCATTTGTTCTAACTCATTCAATGTTTAAGATCCAAGTCTAATGCAAATTGGAACATTGCTACACAAGTGTATCCTCGAGACTTAGCAACATCAAGTCACATATCTTTTAACTCACATAGCGGATAGTTTCAATAGAGAAAATTGACACTTCAATTTGTAAGCCACATTGACATTCAAAATTTTAATCTATTAAAAAGAGACAAATTTGAACTTACTACTCATCTAAAAAAAATGTGACCAACAAAAACTGTCGACTTTATGCTAAACATCTTAGCCAAGTCACATTCGAGAAAAAAACCATTTATAACGGAACTTAACAATTCAAATGTTCAAGCTCAAGAATCTATCTTTTCTCGTACTTAATGAAGTTCCAATCTTTATTCTCTAGAGTAGTATGACCTACATAAGGTCTTCTATTGCGTGCTTGATGCTCTCTAATCATCATGTCCTTCTAGTACACTTAAAATCTTGTCATGCCAAATGTTATTGCATTTAGCTTATCACCTTTATTAAGGTTAACTACTACAGATTTTGATGCCATGATCTATCAATTTTTAGAGACATTTTATTCTCAATCAATGCCCATTTATGCACATTCAATTTTGCATCAATGTAAATTAACGTCTACGATAGTTCAACGTTAGGTACAGAGTCGAAAGTTCACTATTTCCCAATCATCTTCTGCAATCCTATTGTTTCACTATCATAAACTTAGTTTCATAATATAAAATTTCATTGGTTCTAAGTGAGAATTACATTAATTCTTCCAACTTGAGAATTCCCACTCAGTTGGTGAATCAAATAGTTTTAGGTAAGAATTTCTCTAAATCTTCCAATCACTGAATTATCACTCAACTGACAGTTAATATGTTTAAGTAAGAATCTCACTAATTCTACTGACCTCAACATTTATAACAATATACGAATTAATGGATACCATGTATTCAATTAGATAAAATAAAAAGCAAAACTATGCACATTTATCCAATTATAACATGTATTATGATATAACAAATTAATTTTTCCAGAAGATAACTTCAATTATAATCCAAAAATAAAACTAACATCATTTAAATTATATTTTACAAATCCTCAATCCCATTTAAATCTCTATTGCAACATAGTCTCAACAAATGAGAAGTGACATCAGAATTCTCATATTCTGCTTATCACCAAAAGTTTATGTTCCAAAATATTCACGTGTTCCACATTAGGTAATGTTCCAGATCCATTTACTTGTATCAATAAACATGGAACATTTTAACAAATTCTATAACCCATGCTTTTCTAGCATTCCTTCTAAAGATGCTAAAAGTGTACATATAATCAATCATATTTGATCCATCCAAAATTCAAAAATAAGTCACAATGGATCACATAACATAATCAAGACCCACATACTCATGAACGTATATAAAACGTGGTATTTTAAATACTATTGGAGTATTTTTCATTTAAAAAAAAAGCTCCCATTAGGAAAATACCACTTAACAAATATTCTTAATTTTTATAAAATGTTTAGAATTTAATTAAGTCCAAAAAGATATTTTTAATACTTTTTTTATAATTTATTTCAATAATAATAAAAAATATTTTTGATTTTCTGAAAATTAATTTTAATTGCACATAAAAATCAAGAATATTACAAGAATCCAGTTGCAATTTTTGAAATTGTTATTGGAATAATCAACTTCAAAAAAATAATTTTAGGACCAATATCCAACATGCAATTTTTCAGATTGCATTTGGAATAATTAACATTCCAAAGTGTGGAGACCAACATGCAATTTTCGTAATTGCAATTGGAATATTTAATGGACCAATATGCAATTCTCTCAAAATTGAATTTGGAATCATTCACCTACACGACAACAGTTCAGGTTTCTGCCATTTTTTTGCGGGTTACTATTCATCGTCAAAGAAAAATTACAGTTTTTTTTCAGATTTCTGTCAAAACTTCGGAAGACCATAACTTCTTCAATTCAAGGTCAAAAATTATGTTTTTTATATCGTTGGAAAGGTATCTAGAAGATCTATCGAATCATACCAAACCAAATGGTTATCATGAACCTTAGTGTGTAAGAAGTTATCATGTGATTAAGTTTTGGGTTTTTACCGATTTTAATGCAAAAAATCATTTTTTCATCCAAAACTTTGAATCCTCATAACTTATTCATTTTACGTCCAAAATTTGAGTTATTTATATGGCTGGAAAGGTTATGAGAAGATCTTTCTAACCATAGTAATATTACTGCGTGAAAATGAACGAGCAGATGACAATAAATATTTAACATTTCTACAATTTTATCTAGGGTTTCGTTTTTCTACAACTTTATAAAATCAAAAATTTCCAAACTTTGCAGATATGTTCTACATCATATAAGGAATATGCTGTAAAAATTTCGTGAATTTATGTTGCATATTTCATGACATGCCATTAACAATACTTCAAGTTTCAACAAAAATGGCATACATGCATTTTTCAATATAATAATTCCATTTACAACAAGATAGTATACAAGGGAAACAACTTTTACGGCTTTGATACCAATGTAAGAATTCGCAGCATTCTTTAACATGAATTTCGGGTCAAGAAACTTACTTGAAATAATGAATTCCAGATCTTTTGATGGTTGAATCACCTTGCATTCTAAAACTCCAAAATCTGCATTTGATGTTCTTCAATTGTCCCAATCCCGATCATAATGGAAGGGGATTATTACCCACAATCTGAGTGTCAATTTTTATGAGATTTCATGTCCAAAATATGGTTTTAAGGACTTTCCAATTTTGGTGTAAATTTCCGTACAAATTTTTCCTTCATTTTTCATGACATCTTTTTCCAATGCACAATCATTGGAGGTTGTATGGGAGTTAAGGGTGATTATATGTAGTTGTATGTTTGAACTTCAAATTCAAACCATTCTCTCTAGCCCTTTTAATAACTACTGGGTCGGGTCATCCCACATGGACGACCCACGGCCCGTATTTTTCTAACGGTGTTCTCCCCTACCAACCTGCCCATGTGATTCTAACAAGACTTTTAAGGTATATAGTGATAGAGACCGCACTATCCAATTTCTTTTGGGCTCGAACGAAACTTATAAAGTTGTGTGAGACCATATTTTACTAAATAATCCTACACCAACACTAAGTAAGATTTTCTCTTTGATTCCTCAGGAGCAGCGCCAGCATGGTATTACTAGCATATATGCTATACCAGTTCCTCATTCTACAACTCTTGCTGTGAAAGGAAGTACTGTCAGTAAATGTTCCAAGGGAAAGCTCTTCCAATAATCCTAAAGCAAGTTGATTCTTCTGGAAGGGTTGGACATGTGATGCGATTGGTTATGTAGATCCAGTCAATTGTATCAGAATTAGATAAATAATGGACAGAAACGAGCCATTGAGCTGATCTTATGTGCTAAAGCCCTTGAGACTACCAAATTTGTGGCCAAATTCAATCATTTAAGCTGTCAAACTGGATTTTTTTATTCAGGTGGGTTTTTTTTGTTTATTAGGAGATTTGTTTAGAGTAGTTTTCTAGAGTTTGTCTTTATTGAGAATTGTAAGTTAAGACTTCTTATTTTCCTTCAAAAGCTAGAAACGTAGTTCATTGTAACTTTGTTGTTTTATGAATAAATTTGAGTTTTCTCAATTATCCTTATTATTTGGTATACCTATGGAACCAACGAATATTTGGAGTGTTAAACATCTTTATCATATATTCTGCTCCATCAGTTTGATAACAAAGCACAACCAAGTTCCTGATAGAGACTGTTTGGTGTTCGTGAAACCTTGATTATAGCGAAAATCATTCGATGCAATGAGTTATCCCAAGTGTGTCTACAAGATATGGCGTTAAAACCGACCTTCCATCAAATATCTGAAAGTCTGTGACAATTGAGATATTTAATGGAACCTGAACCTAATTATAATGTCCAAAGGTATAATGTGTTCAATGGTGATTAAAATTAATTGTTGGCCATCTTATATTTTAATCTATACCAAATATGGGCTAAATAATAGGTCCAATTAATTAACAGATTTTTTCCAACTAATAGTCTATATATTTACATATGTTAGAGTTGAGAATTATAAGTAAATGAGAATTAATTATTAATTTACGCTGTGCAATTTATAGTTAGCCTTTGTTTGATCCCCATTTTTTTCAAAATACATTTTTATCTCTCTTATTTCAATCATATATCTTCAATATAATAAAATTATATGCAATCCGAAAACTTTTTCTTCATTTTTAATTACACATTCTTCATTAAACTAGTATTTCAAAATGCATTATACAATAAAAATGGGGCTCAAACAGGCCCTTAATTCCAACATATGACAACCTAAGAAAGGTATTGTTAGCTAACAGTATAGTAAATTATTTATGACATAAAACAGAAGATGAAGAAAAAATATACAAGAACGATGAACTTGGAGTGAACACTTCAGAATGTAGCTAGTGCCACTGAGAGTGATGGGTTGCACAATGGATCGGGGCAAGATAATTGTTTAGTACAATATAGCCTACGAACAGGATTCATAAAATGTTTGATCACTGATATATATCTTTCCAGAGAGAACTACTGGCATCATCATCCATAAGATACCCAAATGTTTCAAAGCTGTTAGATGTGAGCGATTGGTTAGGAATGTGAATTGAGTTGACACTATCCATTATGTTGGCCGTGGAAGTTCCGGTAGTGGCTGAAACTAAACCTGGAAGTGAATATTCTGCGTGGCTTTTGCTTATCCCAAATCCATTGGTTTGGTGATCGAGAATTTCTGGGATGGTTTCATTCGAGTTGAATATGGTAGTTAATTCTTCAGGGACCGCCTCAATGTTTGCAATGTGTGGAAGGACTGGGTTGGATAGTGGCTGTAAGGGATTAATCCAGTTTATAAGTTCGCCATATTGGCTAGAATTAAGTGATTCCCCAAGGAAATTTGTGTCAATAATTGGCAGAGGGCTCGTGCTTAAAACTCGCAGTATGTTTTGAAGAACGCGATTCTTGGCAAACTCAGTCACCTGATCTGCTTGTAACTTAAACGCATATTTCCATGGATCCATCAAGTTGGTAAAACTGGAAGTAGGTAGCAGATTGAGGAGGAGATTGACATCAGTTATAGGTTGGTGGGTATTCGGATCAATACCAGACCGGAGGAGCTTCTTCCTCAGGTTGGTATTCCAGAAATTCTTGATTTCATTGTCAGTGCGGCCGGGAAGGTGAGATGCAATTGTGGACCACCTACAAGAACAAGTTATTTTGTTTGATTATATCCTTCAAACAGCTGACACGATGATATGATCGTAACTCAAAATGTATTGAGAGATTGAAATTCAAAAGAAAGTAGAAGAAAAAAAAATAAAGGCATACTTGTTTCCATGAAATGAGTGGAGGTGGATAATGGTTTGTTCCTCATCGGGAGAGAAGCTTCCGCGCTTAATATCAGGCCTCAGATAATTAGTCCATCTTAATCTGCAACTTTTCCCGCATCTATTTAGGTCTGCTTTCTTAGGGAGTAGCTGCCAACTTCCGGTGCCATGTTTATGAATACAATCAATCAGTTTTTTATCCTCTTCTAAAGTCCATGGTCCCTTCTTCAATCTGTTATCAGTAATGCTGCTGGGAGATCTCCCCATAATCTAAAATCAGAAGGAACTACAGAAGTGGAGAGATAATAATACAAGGGAGAAATAGTGGTTTTTATAAGTTCCAAGATTTATAGGGTCAACGTTATTTCTCAATATTGTATTCCACCATGGTTTAGCTTCTAACAATACGTAACAGATTAAATCAAGTAGTTTATCTACTTTTTCTTTGGTCAGTTGAGTAAAAATGGTTGGATTTAAAACTAATGCAGATTAGGTAATGACAGTGTCACTTCATGAGGGGACACTATTCCCGTATTCAAGAATAACGTCTTCAACAAGGTACAAAATTATTTTTTTTACTCTTCTTCTTCTTCTTTTCAAAATCCATTAATTTTTGAGATTTGATTCATTTTATTTAATCACTAACCTTATCTTAGTTATATTTTCAAAGTTAAATAATTCTGATTATATAACTTTGAATTGTTTTCACCAATATGATCATCTTTAACTGCTCCTGTAGAATAAGGCTGTTCCGTGTAAAACACACACACTTCTTTTGAAAATGCAGAGATTGCAATGTCATAGCCTTGACGTATTTTAGTACCTAATGCCCCTGAAAAATATGTATATACTTCATTATCCGTAGTGACATGAAAGGGATAGTCAAAATATAAGATGCATGGTGGTTATTGGGTTGTTTTTGGTTCTGGAATATATAAATATTTATGGTCCAGAGAAAGTTCTATATGCATGTTGTAGCAATGTAAGGCTCAGCTACGTTATTCGTTCATAGGAAATTGAGCCGTAATAAATGGTGAGAAACTGAACCATTCATCAGGAGAGAAATAGAACAAGAGCTTGGTAACGGCAAAATACTTTTTTTTCTCCAAAATAAAGGGTAACCAGGCGGGTTGGGAGCACCAACCAGTTCCTTGTCCCCAAACCGGAACAAAATACATTTGTCCCAACCCCATCCCGAGCACCCGACTAATCGAGAAATCTATTAGAAATTGAGTCAATTGTTATGAATATTAAAGACGAAATAATAGACAATATGAAAATAAAAATTACAAAAACACAAAATTTACGTGAAAACTCAAGAGGAGAAAAAATCAAGGACAGGGTCAGAGAATTCATTATATCAAAAGTAAAGAGTTACAATAAGTTAGGTTGGATATCACAAGACTCTCTTCTGATCTCTCTATCTACGAGTCCTCTCCATTAATCTAGATCTCTTGGATCATTGATCAAATATATGTGTAATACAATACATATTTATAATACAAGAATCCATAACATACTAGGAGAATTAATACAAACAAGAGTCTAATTCAAGGTAAAGTTCTATTACAATAGGTAAAATGAACAACAGAGTGTTTAAGTTTGAATAAGAGTCCAAAAACTGTCAAATGGGGAAACTTTCTCCTTGTGTATCTTGGACTCTTTCAATACTTCTTCAAGTCATATTACCAACTCCTAATAGGACTCCCAATAAATTTTCAATAGAATTCGAGTCACACCCAAATTCGAACAAAATCCCACTCCTTTGGAACATGAAATCGTGGGATCAGGCTGGGCAGTTTTGTTTCTCATCCCAAAGCCCACCTTGCGTAACAACAAAGAAGTGGTAATGAATTGGTTTGGTGAGCAAAGTGGTGGAAGATTTCTGAAATACTAACTAAATTGTCTCTGATCATGACACATATAATTTAAAATTGATTAAACATTTGTCTACAACTTTTCCGTTCCAAGAACAATCTTAACAAGTCTAAGGGGGAGTTGAGAAGAAGACAAGATATCCTGGGATTTTCCCTTCCATACTATCTCATTTGCTTCTTTCACAAGTCAAGCAGTGTATAAATGTATATAGAATCCAAATTTCTAGTTGGATTTTTACTTACCAAATTTTGAGGGTCTGAAGACCTGAAATTAATTAATTATTATCATTGAAAACAATTTAGTCTTGTTAACGTGTTCCTACTTCGAAACTTCCCAACAATAGTATTCAACTGTCAACCTCAGTATAATAGGCTTATCCAAAAACTTGAAGAATTAACAAGTTTCAAAATGTTATGCATTGGACAACTCTTCTGACACCCAAAATTTCATAAATAGTGGATTATTATCAAAAATTCAAATTTTTTTTACGTTAAAAGCGAAAACTTTATATATATAACTTTATTTCCAGCAATAGATATTAACTAAAAAATGGAGTCTGAATTTCTAAAAAAAATTTAAAAATAATTAAATATAATCAGTTAACTAATTAATAAACGTGTCCTTGGACAAGTAAACAATCTAATAAACTTGAAGATAAAAAAAGACTTAATGTTTTTATTTCTTCAATTCCTTTTGGTAGTCCGCATCACCATCCTGCCAGAGTTTAAATAAGCATAAGAAAATGAATTACTTGTACAAAAATATTTTACCTTAATTTTGAAAGGTTGAAAGGAATAAAATCTTGCATGTAAAAATTTTCCTATTATTTTTCTAATATTTTTTTTCTCTAATTCATGCTCTCTGTACTGTGGCTCTTTTTATTTTCTGTGATGAAATAATGGAAATTCCTAAAGTATTTATAGTTGTAATTCTCAAATGAGTTTGTATGCAAATAGAATTGAAAAAGGGTGTAATATAAGGAATTTGGATAAGAATTAATTTTAAATAATAGAATTAGGATTACTATTAAACTTTATTAAATTAAGATTACAATTGAACGCTATCCAAATCACAAAGAGATTATCATTGTCCAAATTAACATTTATCATCTCACACGTTGCTACCATAAAAATTTAAATCATAAAAAAAGTTTAATTAATTACCAATCATATAATTAAAATTTTCATTTTAAAATAGGACACATGGCCAATATGGACTTGGTTTCAAAAAATAACATTTGAATTGTACTACACTATTGTTTTCATATCAAATAAAAATCATGTGTGGTAGGAATTAAAAGAAGAAAAGAATTTTACTCAATTAATATTGTAAGTCCACACCAACTCTATTAACCTATTATTCTTTTAATCGGACTTAATTTGATTTAGTCTAATCCAAAATAATTTTTTCTTGTATTGAAGCCTTCTAATTAATTACGAGCTACAAAAAGAGTCCAATATCGATACACTTATTTTTCATATTATTTGGCCAAAATAAAAAGAATTTAAAATATACTTACTTTAACTTTCAACTTTTCAATATATTAACATATAGTATATAGAACAAATAAATTTTATTTCATAAAATTTTCGAAGCGTTACAATCTCTACTCCTTAAAAGAATTTCGTTATCGAAATTACTTTAGTTAGTTGAAAAGTTTTGGATATTTGACTTTAACATATTATAATAGTACATAATATGAAGCAAGAAACTCATAATCATGCTAAAAGAATGGCATTTCATTTCATACCTTAGATTTATCGGAGAGTTGTCAAATAGTGAGCGTTGCGTGCCAAAATTTTTTAATATCATTACATGTTTTAAAACTTTTGCAAAATTGTCATTTAACTCATAAATCTTATAAAAATATTTTATTTATTATACATATCTACTTCTTCCTTTTTTTTTTTATTACATCACTCAAAAATTAGAGCTAAACACGTAAATATGTATGTCTAAAACATGGACAAAAATATAATAACAATTTAAACTTAAACTATCATTAATTCAAAATCCATCAAAAATATTATTATTTAAAATCAATTGAAAAAAAATTTAAAATTATTATTTAAATAAATTTAAAACAGACATTTAACTTCAAAAAAGTTAATTAATTTTTTTAAAATCATTTTGTAACAGCTTTAGTGTTCATGTGAATAGTGTTGTGCACTGTTTGGCACTGTTCACGGGAATAGTGCCGGACTGTTCAATTGAACAATTTTTTTTTGAATCTATACGAAAGTATGCCTTTGCTCTGATAACAAATCGTAACACCCCAAAATTTCATAAACATTGTAGTATTACCTAAAAATTCAATTTTCTTTACGTTAAAAGCGAAAATGTTTCAAATCAAAATGTAACTTTATTTTGAGCAATAAATATCAACTAAAACATGTAATCTAAATTTCTAAAAAAAGCTTCAATATAATTAGTTAACTAATTAGTAAACGTGTCCTTGAAAAAATAAAGAATCTAATAAACTAGGAGATAAAAAAAAAAAACGTAGTGTTTTTATTTTTTCAATTCCTCTTGGCAGTCTACATCACCATCGCGCCACAGTTCCAATCGATCTGAACTTACCTGTAAAGTTTTGAAAGAGTAAGTATTTAACAATACCTAGTGAGATACGTACAGTTTTCATACACAATTATATAACAACAAAATTAGCTCTTCATATAACTCTTTTCTTATGGAGTATATCAGTGACCAATTGATACACTCATATTAGGTCATCTTAAATTCTCGGAAGATTTTCTATCGCTTAATAAAGAACTTGATTGTACACTGATAACTCATGCATGAATTATTCAATATAAAAGTATAAGGAAACGAATCATTTGCACAAAAGTATCTTACCTTAATTTTGAAATATTGAAAAGAATAAGATCTTGCACATAAAAGTTCGCATATTATTTTTCTATACTTTTTCCTCTCATTTTCTCTCTCTCTACCGTATCTCTATTTATTTTCTATGGTGAAATAATGAAAATTCCTACAGTATATATAGTTGAAATTCTCAATTGAGTTTGTATGCAACTAAATTTGAAAAACGGTGTAATATAAGGAATTTAAATAAGAATTGATTTCAGATAATAGAATTATGATTACTATTAAACGTTATCAAATTAAGATTACAATTTAACTCTATCCAAATCACAAAAAAAGATTATTATTATCAAAATCAACATTTATCATCTCACACGTGTGTCACGGGATTAGTTTTCTTGCACTAGAATAACTAGACACCGTGCGGCCCTAACGCAAACGTTAAGTCAGCCTTTCCCACACCCACAAATAATTCAACCAAGTAGGCTAAATTACTAGAACTTTGAGTAGAGTATTTGAAGTAATATAGAAGACAAGTAATCTTGGGAGAAAATCTCTCTTTA